CTTGTATTATTACAGTTGACTCCCGATAACTTGAACCCTCACTAACTTGAATCTCATGGTAACTCGAACCAAAATCAATTTCCCCTGGATTTCCGTCATGCATTTACTGTAATAAACCTCTGATTTAATTCTAATTGAACCTCTGGCTAACTTGAAGTAGTTTTTGTTTCCCCTCAGATCATTTCTATAATTATAATTTTACCCTCGATAACTTGAACCATGTTTTGAACCCTTACAAAGTCGGGAAAAAAACAGCCTACTGGCGTCCGAAACATTGAATTTTGAATTTCCCATCGATGTGTTGTAGGCATAATAAAATAGGCTACTAGTGGAGGCTGATGTTGTTTGTCACAAATCTAACATGAAACAGCTTTACTTCTCAAAACAGTAAAACGCATGCTCTATTTTAAACACTTTACTTGAATTTAGCATTTTTTTATGAATTGTGCGATTTTCCTCAAATTGTGTGATGGGATGCGATTTGAGGTCAATTGTGCGAAATCGCACCATCGCGTAATATCAGATGGCCTGTATTTAGGCAACATTTTTGTTAGGTTAGGTTCTGATTTATAATCTAGAAGTATCTTTCAATTTTCACTTAACATTTTGACTGTATAAGTACTCCCAAAGCAGCAGGCTAACAAAAATGCAGTGTAGGTGTACTTACTAGCCTGAAATGAGTGCATGAAATGATGTGCTTACGAGTAGTTTTTTGTGTCGGGTGTCCGAAAAAGACTGAAGAATACATTTCGATGCTCTGCATTCAATTGATTCATGCTTTGTTTACCAACTTTGTTCTTTCGTTTTTTTTTTTCATTTTAAATTGAAAACAAAAGCAAATTTCATTTCTTGTGCAAAAGAAAATGGCAGTTGAGTTGTTTGAGCTTTTTTGTCACCTTTTAGTCAGAATTGGTCAGTCATTTTTTAAATGTTTCAGCTTTGCGATTATAATTAGGCCACTTCATACAGCTGTACCCCCTGCAGTTCCAGCCTCCATGTTGATGTTATCAGTATTTGACTGTTTACTGCAATAAAGGAATCAAAACTGTTAAGAGCATAAAACTATATTACTGAAAATTAAGATTAATTAAGATTGAAAATTATATGATACGCTCGCAAAGTGTAGTGAAACAGTTTAATATTAAACTTGATTGGAAATTCACTCGTTCACTCACTCCATCGCTCGCATGCTCTAAAACTTATCGTGAACAGGTTTCAGACAAATGATACCCTGATTTATCCTCATGGACTTTTTTTTAATTGTAGCTTGATGCACACACTTTTTTTCTCCTTTGTGTCATGTTGTGTTACATGCACAGTAAATGTTATTGAAATCAAAAGAAATTGCAACTGATTCAAACTATCAGGGTTGTCAGAAAGTTTTATGACGTAGATGACTGAGTTATCAAAGTAAGCAGCCGTCCAGGTCTATTTTATTGTAAAAACGTTATCTGTAAAGAAATGCCAAGCAGAGTAACTGGCCAATACTAATCAAGTTGGTGATGATTTTCACTGGCAGCTGGCTACTTTTGACAACCCTGACTATTTGAAATGTCATTCTTTACACACAGCAAGTGCTTGCCTTTCCATTGGAAACTACTAGTTTCATTTACTGTCGCCCAATATGATGTTTTGTAACCTTTTTGAGCACAAAAAGTAACTTTGACACCACAGGGAGTTTAGTTTGATTGTTTAAGTCACTTCATGTGCCTTCTGTGTGTTTAGTGACAGATACCAGTAAACCCCCTGCAGACAATGTTCCTGATGAGTCAGATGAGATGTATGAATGTGCTGAGCCTGGTACTGGTTCAGTTGATGGTGTTCCAACCTTGGAATATTTGACAAAGATCACAAAACCAGATGATATCAAAGGTGTCATTAAGACAGGTAGGTATTATTTTTATACAATGTTAAAGAAGTATATTGAGTTCCATTAGAATTGGACAGTCTGTGAAAAAACTATGGAACAGAAAACAAACAAACAAAAGCTAACCAAAAAGAAAAGAAAAATTATACAAATACATACAAGTTGCTAAGTTTGCCATGCACAGTTTAATACATGGGTTAACTGAAAACTTTAAGTTTATAGTTTGTGTTGTCTTGTGTCTCAACATTCAGTTTGGTCCTTGGATTAGAAACTCAGTTTCGTATCCTAACATTGGTGATATCTCTTCAGGTTTCCTAAACAAACGTCGCAAAGAAGGCAAAGTTTACATCGGAAGCAAGTTTCAGAAACGATACTGTGTTGTGCGCAATCATATCATGTACTACTTTAAAGACAAGAAATCACCAAAGCAACAAGGAAGCATCTTGTTACCTAATTATAAAGTAGCTCTTGCTAACAAGAAAGGCCGTGAGTTTATTCTCACTTTGGACGGCCAAAGGCCATTTCAGGTACTTGATTTGTAAAATAATATCAAATATTTTGTTGTTTTTAGTTTGTGTCACATTGGTTTCAGAAGTTACACAATCATTTTTTCCCAACCTGGACTTCTTTAGGACCTGCCAATGATCTTAACAAATCTGTGCCACATTATTCTCTGTTTGAAATTTTGTCAGTACTATCATTCATTTCTTAATGCCTTGAAGAAGGGTTCACTTAGCTAATTCTCTTATGCTGTCTTATGCTTTCTTAGTAATATTCATGTGATAACAGCTGGCTGGAATAAGTCAATGATGAAAATTGGTAAATTAATGCAAAATTTCAAAAAGACCTTGGAATTATTTACATAGAGTGTTATGTAATAATCATTAATGATGATGTCTACGACATTATATTTTTTTTATTATTTTATTGTTAAGAGTGTGATAAACCCATGCATCATTAGTATCAGTCTTTATAGGCTGTCTTTATACACTGTAGTTTTCAAAGCGGTCAAGATTAATCAATTCACTTTCCTGACCAAAGAGTTAATTCCAAGATCATTCCTTAATGTGATTAACATGTCTGGTATGTCCAGGTCAAATTATTTTTAAGGACAATTTATCTGTTATTTTTTAGTTTGAGGCTAACTCTAAGAAGGAAGCTGACGAATGGATGTCAGCGATACAAAGTGCCGCTGATGCACCACTGGTAGGTAATCATAATCTAGACGAACTGCGTAACAGGCAACACTCGGATGATGAAAGCAGCTTACATTATGAGAAGAGTGGAATGGAAGAGCCTGAAGTAAGAGCTCAAGATGATGAGGAAATGTATGATGACACCAAAGAAGACTTGTATGAAGAAGTTGGTAGTATTCAACCTGCCACTCCCAGCCAACAGTCCAGTCAATCAATACAGTATGAAATTTCCACAGCAGTTGCTACCTCTCCTAAGCCAGGTTTGACTGAGCAGTTATATTCATTAAATAAATAAATTTTATTTATTTATTTATGCATGTATTTATTTTTCTCATTACATTGATCGTTATTATTTAGAGACACAATCCCTCGAGATGAATAGTGCATTTGCTGTTTTTTAACCTACAATTATGTACAGAAGTATTGGGACACTTTTGCATTTTTTGGGTGTTTTCGAGTTCACACAGGGCCAACCCCTCCCCTCACCCCACAAACAAAGTTGGAAGCATGTATCCAGAATTTTTTCCGAGTTTTAAAAGAAAATTTCAAAAAAGGATGTACTGTTTTATGAGGCAACCCAGAAATAACAGAAAAATATTAAACTGGATTACTGTCCCAAGGACTTTTGTCCATGATGGCAGTCATGGACAGAAGTCTCGGAACGTTTTACATTTTTGGGGGTTTTTCCAATTCACACAGGCCCAACTCCTCCCCTCACCCCACAAACAAATTGGAAGCATGTTTCCAGAATTTTTTTCGGAGTTTCAACTTTGTATAGGGTGGGGAGAGGGAGAACTGCAAGAAAATTTCAAAAAAGGATGTAGTATATTAATACTGGATAACTGTCCCAAGGACTTTTGTCCATGGTTGTAGCTAAGAAAATAGCCTACATTTTGTGACACCATTGGTCAGATGTCATTTCTGGCAATCAGTGGTAGCGTTGCAAAATGGACAAATCCCAACCCATTTGGAATGTACCTACTAAGAGTGGAGGGGGATGGGCAAAACCATCTAAAGGAAAATATTAAATAAAAGCGAAGTTAGAGGAGGGATCGACATTTTATCACACACTAGATAACAACATTCCATTTCCGTCTTTTTACAGCTGAACCTTCACCCGCAACACCCTTGGTAGATGAAGATTATGAAATAGCAGAACAGCCAACTGCTCCTGCTCCACCCCCACCACGCCCTTCCAAACCACAGGTACCAGCACCTAAAGATGACACACCTCCTGCTGTACCCCCACCACGCCCAACTAAGCAACAGCTCCCCACCCCACAAGAGGAAGAAATGTATGAAGAGGCTGATACTCCTGCTACAGACCTTCCTCCTCCTCCAGCTCCTGAAGCGGATGTAGAGTTGGAGAATTATGAGGATCTGGATACAATTCAGGAGCAGGTTTTACCTCCACCACCTCCAGTCTCGGCACCAGCCCCAGTGCCTACTCGACCTCCTAAACGTAAAGTTTCCCCGCCTTCAAAAAATGCTGGCCAGTCTGCAAAGCCACGTAAGTGTTGTTTCTGGTTTTTCTGCCTGACATATTTAGGTAGCGTTTCCGTTCTGTGTAACTAACTGGTGAAATTTCGAACTGTTTCAGTAAAATGGAGTCAATAACTTACTTCACATGTACATGTAGCTGCAACGTGTATCGATTAAGCAAAACTCTTCATGGAGAGAATGTAGCTGGTTGAAGTCTCAAAAACGTTTGTTTTTTTTTTTTTTCGTTCTGCCTCAGTTCTTAATGACCAGGTTAAATTAAGCATTTCATGGTGGCTAAATCATAAATTGACATATGATATACGTATAATATGTGCCGCAGGCGATGAATAGGTAGGTTGAGTGGTTGTACACAATACCTCAACATTTCATATTAATAGACACTGCGTTCTTTATCAGCACCTTTGCTCTGTTTGCACACCTTTAGCATAAATAAGCTAGAGACCTCCATATAACTAAACAAAAAGGATGGCTGCCTTTACGGCAAATGCGTGGTTAGTTTTCAAACAAGGGACGGTAACTCATTTTTTTGATTGTCGTTGTTGTTGTGGGTAAAAGGGGTTGGATTAGTTTAACTGCCACAGCGTAGATTAACGCTAAAAAATTTTAACAGAAACTGCTTTTTGAAGTGTCAACTTTCACGTCTGTCATGATGATGTAAGTAGTGTATTTGCATTGTGAGATTTGTGCTTGCCGAACAATCAGTGCAAATAAGGATTCTGCAACTATCATTGCAGTAAGATCGAGTCTGTTTGATAAGATGATCGTTTCAGTGATCTTATGTCACATTTTCATCGGTTGGGCAGTAGGGCATTTTTGAGCTTTCGTCCTCGTAAGTGTTGGTATGAGATCCATCTGGGAGAACTGATCTTTTTTGGTTTAAAATGAGCAGTTCAGAAAGATGTGTCTCCTCCGTGGATGATTACCCCATGGCCCATCGCCGGGAGACCCGGTATGTTTGGATAGAGACAACAGAGATGGTCAAGGCTAACATATCCGTTACCCTTCAGATTCAGCCAACAGGAAGGATGGAACCAGCCGGAGAAGTGATGTGTTGGCAGAAGATGTGAGCTGTTACTGCGGAAGAAAAATCAAGTCACGGGATGCATCTTCTTGCACAACAGAAGGAAAACGCGCCAGATGTCCTTGTCTTCGCAATGGAAGGTCTTGCACAGCAAAGTGTAAATGTCGCTTTTGCGGGAACCGTCCAAGGAAAGAAAGGAGTGCGACGGGGTGCCGATGTGGAGAAGAGAAATACAAAAGAACAAATGACCCAGATTTTGTATCATGCATTGACTCGGAAGGGAAAAGGAAGACAAAGTGTCCTTGTTACAGCAGTGGAACGGGATGTTATGATAGATGCAGATGTTTAAATTGTAAAAACAGTTTTGGTGCCACGGACAGACCTTTTAGGATTCCTCAGCCAAAGCCACCGGGGAAACCGGCCCCTAAACTCGTTGGCTGTAGATGTGGAGAAGGGAGGAAAGACCCAAACCCTGGGTTCTTAGCTTGCGTGGACGTGCAGGGGAAGCGATCTATAAAGGCCACGAGATGTCCATGTTTCAGAGCAGGAATAGTATGTCAAGAGTATTGCAAGTGCTTAAACTGCCAAAATTATGGGGATGATGATGGCAGTTCCTCACCTAAACGACTTTGTACCGTCACTGTTGTCTTAGACAGCGCAGAAGAATATCCGCTTTTTTAAAAAACAGAGGCGAGGCTCACTTGCAGTAGCTTGTGTTGAGACGAGACTAATTCTACAGCTAGAAACAAAAAAAAGGAGGAGGGGGTGGGGTGAGAAAGAAGAAAAAAAAACATTAGGCCTACATGTTAACATCACGTAGACTCAGTTTCATGTTCATGTTGCAACTTTTGGCGTACAAACATGTACGCATGCCAGATTGGTTACAAGGTTGACTTGTTTTACAGAGATCTTTCTTAACTCGTGCGTGGCTGGCTAGTTTGTTTTTGTAGGTATCCGGAAATAAAACATACGTTTCAAATGCGCAATAAGCTTCTGTATATTTAATTAGATTGTTTTGCTGATCAATAACCGCGGTTTTTCCCGTCCCTGTACTCTTCATTGTCTTCTCTGCGCAAATCCGTATTCCGGAATCGTTCTTGAGCCTGCCACGTGCTGCTCTTTCTTTTTTCCTCTACACTGTTCCATCGATAAATTACTAAGCCACATATTTTCCCCTCAATCTAAAAGGCTATTTTGTCAAGCGATTACGGCTGGGAGACACTTTTTAGTGCTGTTTATTTATCTATGGCATGGGTGACCTATACTTTGGCCTGTGGAAAGGTTTCGTCTCCCTCCGTCTAAATGACCGCCTGAAACTATCTCACGTTCTCTACAGCCCTAAAATATGCGCATTGCATACAGACCGGTAACCCATTTACGGCGACTGCTTACGAATGGCAAGGACAAGGACAGACCGTAGGACAGGCTGGAGGGAGCCATATACAAATGATACGACTGCTAGGCCATTAACATCGGAGAGACCGGCAGAAACCTTAATACGCGGCTGACTGAACACAAACGAGCAACAAGAAATGGTGATATCAAGAATAACATTGCTAAATACCACTAAAGGCGAGACACCAAATCGACTGGCACTCTGCGACATGCATTACATATTCTACAAACTGCTATTAATTTGAAAGCTAGTTTACTAACAGACGCCTCTGATTCGTAGTCAACAAAGATGACTTGAAAGCCCACAAATTAAAATAGTCTAACGAAGAAATGACCGTTTAACTAATAGTTTGACAAAAGACGGATACAAACGCCCCAATCACCTTTGGAGTGCTCATAGCCTTAACTGACAGAAGACCAATAACATCGCGACTCAATTGACCAATCAGGTCAAATCAAATCAAACATTTATTATGTAAGAACACATAAAAGGAAGCGTCAGAGGTTATCCCTATCGAGGACACTCCCTACATAAAATATAAAATAAATATACTACAATGTGTAAGAATAATTAAGAAATGGCTAAAAAAAATTACAAAATTTCACAATACTTCCTAAGTTTACTTCGAGAAATGCTGAAATCCTGTTCGTGCACTATGTCTTTAGGAAGAGCGTTTCACTGTTTGATAATTCTAACAAAGAATGAGTGCAAAAATGAATTTTTTCTAGCCAATGGCTGTCTTAATTTAAATGAATGGTTTGATCTTATTTTACCATAACAATTAAATTCAAAATAATCATTACAGTTAAGGGCATTAAGACCATGAATAGTCTTGTAGCACTCTAGCAAAGATAGATATGACCTCCTTGATTGAAGACTGGACCACCCAAGGATTGCCAGTCTTTCTTCGTACGGAGAGTCCCTGGATGACATCGGGAGAGCGTATTTCGAGGCCCTACGTTGTACTCGGGCAAGAGCGTCAATGTTCTTCTGTAAATAGGGTGACCAGAGGGACAGCATATTCCAGAATGGGTATAACCAAGGCCTTGTACAGATGAGAAAAGACTTCCTTGTTTCCTGGACTAACTTTCCTTTTAAGGAAACCCACAATCTTGTTGGCTTTGTTTATAACTTTCTGCGTTTGGGTGTTCTAGGATAGATTAGAAGTCAGTGAGACCCCCAAATCAACCGTTTCGTTGACAGACTGAAGCGTACAACCAGAGAGCTTGTAAGGATAGCTAGTATGATCTCTTGCATGGGTAAGACGTAGAACCTCACATTTGTCAGGGTGAAAACGAAGTTGCCAATTTTCACTCCATTTCTGTAGCATGTTGAGGTCACATTGAAGTTGTTTCTCGTCGTTTTCATCGTAAATAATCCTGTAAACAAGGTCGTCGTAAATAATCCTGTAAACAAGGTCATTAACTATAGTTTTTAAATACCATTAACTGACATTATACAACTCACTTCTGTTCTAAAGATGACCACGGCACAGGTTGTCGCAACGTCATTAATCAACAGTCCTATTCAGGACTACGCTCAATCGGACGATCATATTCCATCTACTTGTAAAATTTTAGGGTCGGTTATTTAAACGAAGTCTAACTTAGATCGCGGTTTATGAAATCATTGGACCTCTAGATCTTCTTCTTAAGGGGTTAATTCAAGAAAATAAGTGCTTTTCCATTCTACGCTATATGCTTTATTCAAATTGTTCGTGAAAAATGGTGTTTAGAAAAAACACGGGCTAAACTCTGTTTAAATAATTGGCCCTTAGCGTTTAATTTTTCTCCGCTTACCTATATTTTCACCAAAATATTTGGAAGCACCCTTTTCTTATAATTGTATGCTTCAGGCAAGTGCATTTTAAGCTCTTTCTATCGGAAGTATATCTCAGTTCCAACTCCAGCGCTCCCTCCTAGTTTGTACTAGTTATGATATAGCTGTTACTCTCATTCTTATTTCTTTAGTCATTAGAGGTGATGGAAATACTGTACTTTCTTTCAAACTTAAGAGCCCACAGAGGCTAGCCTGCGAGTAAGCTCTCCGGGGCGCTCTGGCGGCGGGGCAGGAAAACGAAAGAGAGTTTGCAACCACGTCTCTGGAATTTGAATTCCGCCTCCAATTCCCCTGTGGCTCCCAATCAGCATTTCGCAGCGACTTTTTCGATGCAGATATTCAAATTCCAGAGACGTAGTTGCAAGCTCTCCTTCCTTTTCCCGCCCCGCTGCCAGAGCGCCCCGAAGAGCTTGCTCGCAGGCTACACAGAGGCAAAGGTATTGGACTTAATTTGCACAATATTGCGAATTATCGCTATGTAATTTCGTTCATTTTTGCAGAAGAAAAAGTTCCCGATCGACCGCCGACTACCGCCAAGCCTGCACCGCCCGTACCGAGACGATCAGACGACCCGCCATCTAGCCCTGCTGAAGAGCCAACCAACGAAATCAACTACGCTAATGTGTATCAAGCGCTGTGGAACTGCGATGCTGGCGATAAAGACGAGCTACAATTCAGACGGGGAGATCTTATTTACATTTACGAAAAGCCACACGCTGATTGGTGGATAGGATCCCTATTTAAACCTCAGGGGTACAGTGTAGGACTGGTACCTAAGGATTATGTTATGGAGGCTTATGAGTTTAGCGCAGCATAGCAGGTGGCGAGAGATTTGTTGCGGAAGCGAGACGCGTCATTGCGTAATTTGTAAACGCTTATTTATCATAATAATAATAATAGTAATAGAGAGGAGTCATGGAAAAAGTCACATGAGGTAAACGAGAGCCCCCCAGGCTACCCTCCCAGGCAAGGGATTCCGGAATCCGGGAAATTTTGCTGGTGCAAAGCCGAGATCCGGGATATTTTTACCCGTGGAGGCCGAGATCCTAGGCTTTGAATCTGGAATACAACTCAAGGACGACAGATGTACCCTGAAATTGTCTCCTCCAATTTATCTGTTTTTCTCAGTATAATTGTACAAAGGGAGATGAAATGAAAGAATGGGATTTTTTCCAATACGAGAACAGTTATCAAGACAAAATTTGAATTTAAAACAAATAATTAGAAAAACAAACAAAACACCCACCACAACAAAACCCGAAAATGGTACCTAGAGATAGATTGTAGTGGTAATACTGAGGTAGAAACTATTTTTGAAATCTACCTTAGCATTATTTTTTGTTGAAAATTTACTATTATCGCTAAGCTTATTTTTATACAACTTTTGATTACCGTTATTTTTACCGATATTGCTGAGCGGGAAAATTTAGTTATCAACATATTAATTTTTATTTTGTGGTAGAAATTCCCGGCAGTATTTTTCTAACAAGATTTTGTACTACTGTTGATAAACCCTTTTGTACAACGAAATTATTTCTCTACCTATAGTATTATTAATTTTAGTCATGTAACGCGTTTGAAGTTACAGATTTGTACTTTCATAAGTTATCCATGCTCTCGTACTTCATTTGAAGATTAAAATACAAAACTAATTTTAATTTGTTTTAAACTTTGTTTGGGTAGTCCGTCTAAATGTTTATGTCGGAAGTTTGATACAATCATCACAACTGATGTAAAACAAGAACTTTATAGGGATTTTAATTTGCGTTTTCAAAGACTGAAAAGTCAACAACCGAGAAAATTTGCAGCAGTTAAAGGATCCTGTTTTGTTTTTGTTTTTTTTCGATTAGTATGATATAAAGCAAATAAAGAACGTTTAAAACATATTGCGAAATTCTCGTTTTAGCTATGAGAAAAAAAAAACCCTGTTATTTGAAGCGACTAAAGCCCTTCCCTGATATTTGATGAGTCACCACCTAATGATTAGGCACATGGAACAACATGGCGTGCAATCGTCCGCAAGATAAGCACAAGCGCTAGCCGCGCGCGTAGATGCATAAAATGCCCTCTCCTCGCTTAGTTATTTAGCAAAGACAGCGTAAGCCCCATTTACATCACATTCCCTTTAGGTCCAGCACTTCTCAAAATGGGCACGTGGGGGAGCGTTATTTTTGGCACGCCTCGCCTGTTTTTTTACCCAGTAAACGCAAAGTTTTTGGCACGCGGACCAAAAAAATCAGGCAGTCAAGAGAATTAGGGGCCCTTCGGTCACCGCTTAAGTTGACTAAAACGCGCAAACACCCAATCCTCGAGTTGCAATCTCGTTTCCAGAGTCTTCAAGAATTTTGGTCAGCGGGGCCGGCAAAAACACAGAAGACTGTGGGAAGGAGATTGTATGATAATCAACATCAATGGCTGAGTTTATTGGGGCCGCCTATGGAAATGTGGGCTCTGTCATTAGCACCAAAGCGCACATTTGGAAACGCTCATTTCTGACTTCCCCAAATAAGTTTTGCAATAGTTCTATATTCGGATGTGGAAGCGAGGTAATACAATGTAATCGCTAGTCGACGATTGGGAGTATCCGTACCAGCAATTTCTTGGAAATATCCACAAAGTCGCAAAATCTTCCAGACGTCTTTATACAAATATTTGTTAACTTTTTTGACTTTGCACGGCTATATCCTCGTTAGTTTTATACAAATCATTTTCAAACTTGGCAACTTGACTGGTTTTCAGAGGGCGTTCTTTCCAGCCGCGTGCTTACTGATCCCATTTAAAAGTTTCAAAACATAGAAAATGCACTGCATATTTTATAAATAACACACGGTCTTTATTACCAGCCAAATAGTTAACCATGACGTTAAAATTTAATGTTTCAGACTTCGAATCATCTTCCTTAGTTAAAGGTGACTAAATTTGGAGTCTTCGTCATCACTGGCGTCATCGTCAAGTTCAGCATGTTTTTCACAGTCGAAAAGATGCCGCTTCTCTTTCGATGTAGCTTCTGTTTTCATGATTTTCTCCTTCCAGTTTTCAAAGAATGTTTGGAAACCTTTTTGTTCAACATGATGAAATCTTTTCTCCTTCGCAAGACGGCGATTTGTATCTCCCTGGAATACAACGGAAGAAATGGCAAGTTAAGTGGCGGCAGGGTAGATTCGATCATCCTCGGTGCTCCTGGGGCAGCTTACTGGGAAGGGACTTGGGTGGTCGCCAAGGTAGTTTTAATTGCACTGTAAAACCCCGTTAAAGAAGAGAAGAACGAATTAAGTGAAAAAAGAAAAAAAACCAACAACAACAACTGAGTACGCTTACGTACCTTTAGGATAGGTCTCCTACAGGGCAGCATGTAAGCTCGTTCAAGAGTTTCCATCATTCGTTCGTTTGGCTTCACTCCATCGCGTGTCATTCTCTGAGAAATAGAGCAAATTAACGTTACCATTACAATGTCCACACAAAACGTCAGCTCATGGGAGGACAGTGTAGAGCCCCATAGTTACAAAGAAATCATGGTAATCCGACAAAAATAACAAAAACAGCGCAGTGCAAGCGAGGGCCATTTGTACGCACGCACAGGGAAGCCTAGCCTGCGTAGCTGGCGGTTTGTTTGGTGAAAGGGAAAAAAAAGAGAGGAAAAAGCTGCGAATTTGCGCGCTCGAACGAGCGGCGAAGCCGACGTATTCTCGTCGTAGCTTTCGCTCGTTTTAGCAGCCTTTTCCCCCTCAGGCCAAACAAAACCGCCAGCAAGGCCAGTAGTAGAGTGTTTTTTTTTTTTTCAAATGTATTTTGTTACATAAAAATTATGCTTTTTTGCACATGTATTTCATTGTGCTTTGCGCATGGTCAAAATAATGAGAAAATTTACAAAAAACTAAGCAAACGACCTCAAAGCTAAGGCCATCACTTTCAAGGCAGATTCTACTTGACTGAAACTGTCACCACTTATATGTTTGAACATAGACTTCGGTTTACAATATATTACACTGAATCAAACCTTAACAAGTTGAATAAGGGAAGTAAATTGTCTCTGTTTAGCTGCTCCTGCAATCAACGTCCCATACACTGACTGGGCTGGGGTGATTCCTTCAGACTGCAAAAGTACATGAACACACAAGCATTAAACTGACCAATAAGTTTGTTTCCAATTCATCTACTAATACAGCACAAAGGTCAACTTTACATTGTGGACACAAACTGTAGTATGCATGCCCTAGTTTGCTATTGAGTTTGAAACAATGAGAACATAATGCTGGTGGGTGTAAGAAAATTAAACTGTATGTACATTTCTGATTGAATCTGCAGTCAAAACACCTCTATAGTTCCTTAATGGCCAAACCGAGCCTTGGACACTTTTGCTCAGTTGGTACATGTAGGCCAACTTCACATCTGTGTGTGCACGCATCCATAAACCCAAAAACGGTTACTTTGGAGATTGGGAATTGCACACTCGAAAGCTATTGTTTGGTGGTCACTAAAGTAAATCATTGCAGTATGTTAGTTCCATATGCCTAAATACCCAATGACCAATAGGCTCTTTGCGTGACTTGATCACGTGATCAACTTTCAGTAAATATGAAAACAGTTCACTTTTGAAAAATTTTTTTAGCACAAGCTGAAAGAGCATATTAAAATTAGGTGACCTGAGAATTTTCAGCCATTCAGTCGTATATCTCAAAAGTAGCGATTGCAATGGCCAACAAAAGTTAGAAGCATTTATACAATGTATGAGGAAAACAAATTTTGCCACCCAGTCACACTTGCATGGTTTTCCAGACAGATGCTTGTAAATTCTAAAATTTTTAAACTGTCATTTAACCTTCCCTCACGCACTTAAGGGATCAAATTTGCCTGTTACGAATAAACAGGAGACATGAGCCCCATTTCATGATAGTTTTGAAAATTTCGAAATTACAAGGATTTGTATCAGTAATAATGGAAAACCATGCAAGCATGGCTGGATGGCAAAAGTTGTTTTTCTCATACACATGCTTGCAATTTTTGGCGGTCGTTGCAATCGCTACTTTTGAGATATACGGCTGAAAATTCTCACGTTACCCAATTTTAATATGCTCTTTCAGCTTGTACTAATAAAATTGAACTGTTTTGGTGTTAACCGAAAGTTGATCACGTGATCGAGTCATGCAAAGAGCCTATTGCTAATGACCATTATTAGCTATGGTCACACTACAGACTTTTACCTAGGTAAAACCGATTTACCTAGGGGAAATTCATAAAAAATCTGCCTAGGTAACTTCATCTCAGGTAAAAATTCTGGGAAGGTCACAATACTGATATCAGCTCCCAAAGTTTTCACACCAGTTGAATTTTTTGGAGCGTAAATTCAAGAAGGCAAAATGCGCGGGGATCTAGCTGGTCAAAGAGAGGTTTTTTTCTTTTATCTCCCTGTTATTTCTTACGCTAATTCAATGTGCAAGGTGAAGAAAGGCGAAGACGTAGACGACTGGTGCTCCCAAAATTTCTTTCACAGCGTGATGTATGTCCGGTTCTGTCATCAAGACCTTCACCGATGAGCGTCTATTGGCTAGCAACCTCGGAATTTCATTTTTCCCTAGCTATTTCTTTGGGGTAGCTGTCAAGGCAAAATCTATTGTTTTCGAGACATATCCAAGACCCAGATGATAAAATTTTCCCAAGGTAAGTTACCTGGGGAAAAATCGGTCACACTTAAAAAATCAAGTTTCCCAAGGTAAACTGTCAACAAGTCGTGTTTACCTAGGTAAAAAGTCTGTAGTGCGACTACAGCTTTTGTTACAGCAACCTTTATTGTATTACAGTATGCAGTTACAAGATTCACCTTCTAGACGAAGCAACTGTATTTCTTGTTATGTTGGTAATGACCAAATGACCAGACACCAGTCCTTGTATGTCTGAATTCTTAAAATATAAATGCCATAAAATTCTGAAGGAACATAAATGAACCACCATGATTTCATACCTGGATTTCGTCCAGTAAAGCAATTCGTTGTTCTTGGTTTGTGCAGCCACGTGCAAGCGTCTGATAGGATTTTTCTGATGGTGAAACATTCAATGTTTCCTCAAGTCTTTTCATGTGCTCCTAAAGAAAAGAAAAATGACAGAACCATATGATAAAGCAACCCTGCAGAGAACCTACTAACAGTAGGGAGAGAGAGCCATCTTACCAAACTTTGTCAGCCAGAAGTCAAGTGAGATTTTGCACTCACTCCAGCGTGTAATTAGCCTGTGCCACGCTCTCAGAAAGTATAGTGCGGGCGTATAAAATGAGCAAAGCAAAAATAAGACTCGCGCGACTTGGGAAGGGGGCGGTGGTCTCTCCCCAGCCCCCACATGTTTTTCGCTTTTTTTTTGACTGAACGAATTTTCACAACTATCTCGGAGCCTGGAACAGGCTAGGTGTTATTAAATTTAAATTTGATCCTGCACCTGCACACCAAAGCACCTCCTGTACAATGTAGCTGAGCACTTCTGATCTAGAAATCCAAGGGATGTGAATTTTTTTTGAGGTTTCTGGTGTTTGATTTCTCTTTTTCCAATGTAAATTTAATACCTACAAATTATGTACTTCCAAAATCAGCTGGGATTATGCAGAGACGGAGGGGAAACAGTGGCCAGTTTCACCTGAGTTAAAAAAGGCATCCTTTAAAACTAGCTGGCTGATGAAGGCACAACAGAAAACAAAATTTAAAAGCAAGGAAAGGATACAAAGCCAAGCAAGATACCTGAGACTTTTTTTTTTATGTCATTAGGGTCTCCTTTGATTGAGGTGTTTTTTGTGTAGTCATGCAGTGTTCCACCCCACAAATGTCTGTTTGTGGGGAAGGGGGAGTGCTGTGTAATGATAGGCTGTGGGGGAGTAGCTTTAATCAAGATCATTCATAGTTTAGAGAACATTTTCCATCAATTCATATGTACACTTAATGTACCTTTGCTTTCTGTAAATTGCCCTCTGACACGCTTCTCTTCACCAAAGTATTAAAAAATGTAACATCGGGAGAAACATTACAGCTCTTCATGAGTTCCAACAAGTATTCCTCTTCTGCTTTGGATGTTGTCAAGTAAAGTAGCAGTTGAAAACTTCGAACATCAGGATAAACATCCTCAACAGCCATCATCTGAATGAACTGTTCCACTCCAGGGAAGTGATTGTGTAAGTTGAGATCGTCAACAACTTGTTTTACATTAGAAATGTTATTTCCTTGTTGATTGTAAGAAGCACCTTGGTTAGTATCCTCATCTCCTGATACTTCTTTATTTCTCATATAGTTTGGATTTCCTTGAGCACCTTTACACTGAACTTTAGGCATTTCTGTGTTTCCAACACTCTGTCGAGGTGGAGTAGCCTCTGCACTCTGATACTGATTAAAAACTTTGAAATCCCTCATTACTTTCAATACACAGTTAAAAATGTAGATATCTGGCTTTATTTTGAGAGCCTTCATTTCTTCAATCAAGTTTAGTGCTGTACTGGGACCATTGATATTGTCAAGTGAACATGCTGTTAGTAAGGATGAAAAGGTGTGTCCATCTGGCTTAATGTTGTTGTATTTCATTTCATCATAGATTTCAAATGCTCTAAGAGGATCCCCACACACAGTTACAGCTTGGATAGCAGCATTGTAAGTGATGGCATTTATTTCAAAATCCTTTTCACTGACTCTTGTGTTGATTTCAGCCAGGAGTTTTTCAACATGCTCTAAGCTACTTTGACTGGGAGCTGCAGACTTTGAACAAGCATTGAACAGGCTGGTGTATGTGCGTGGAGTTGGTTTTAGTCCCCTCTTTTTAACCTGTACAAAACAGCAAACAGAACTATTTTGAGGTAGACGAAAGCCATATCTGAAAGAAATTATACATTTGATAGTAATGTTGACACAGAGCCTGCACAATGAGAATGCCTAGCAATATGGGTAATTCAATAAACCATTTACCAAAACTGAGCCATGGAACAATAGTCTTAAAATCAAAAGTTAACTTTTGTAAAGTTTTAGATCACTCTCTGGCACTGACAACTTTACCTGTACACTGTAACAACCAAGAATTCATGACTGAATTACAAAAATGGATTTACATGTACTGTACAGCTACCTACATGACCTTGCACTCTAGTTGCATAGCTGTGAGGTCTTACTTGAAATGTATATATAGCTACACGTACATATAACACATAAATAATGCATAGTTTCAAACAATGCAGTGCAAAATCTTTAAATTCCAGTCATGACCTCTTCTATTAGGTATTCCTTCCCAGAAAAAGTAAGTCCTCTGTGTTAAGAATTTTGGGGAGTTCACTGAATTAAACAATGTTTTAAGAATTATAGTAATTATATAACTCTAAAGTCAGTTTAAATGAATGTTTGGTTTTACAAACTGTTGCCTCAGGACTATTCGGACATTCTGGTTACATTATTGTAAACACTGGTACGGGGCAAACATTTTTAAGCATGTATAATTATGTTGTAGTTAATTTTTATCTCAGGTAATTTTTTGTTTTTCTTTTGTTTTGGGGTATGGTAAATTGCACGTATGGTAATGAAGTTGAAACAAAAGAAAAACAAAAATTACCTGAAATAAAAAATTAACTACAACATATATGAACACTTACATCATTGTAGAATTTAAATGCTTTTCTGATCCTTCCACCTCTGGCATATGCAGAAATGATGATGTTAAAAATTTCCACCGTCAAAGGAATTTTTTCTTCTTTGAAAGATGAAAAGAGTTCCAGGACTTTTTCAATCTGTTTGCAACAAAAATGCTGAGTAATCACCCATATTTTCCATAGATTTGTTTACATGTAATTTTCTTGCTTGGTAAACAATGCTTTTATCATTAAAATGTCCAATCAATGAAAATCTGAAGAATACTTTATTTGGAGGCACAAGTACCCAATCAAATCACTGATTTCTGATTCAGATAAGTGGAAGTTTGATTACATATAACCTTATATGACCCAGGGAGGCTAGGGTATTAAACTGGCGAAGTTACGTAGAAGACAACTCACACAAACCACCGAGTTGTTAATGAATTTCTACAATTGAATGCACTTAAAATAATGAATATTCATCATTCTTACAACATCAAAAGAGGAATAAGTGAGGAAAGGCAGTGACTAAATAGCTGTACAGGACACAATCTTCGAGAATAATTTCAGGTGACTTAACCTTAGTGAGATAACTTTATAGATTTTGGCCACAAAGACTCCATACGGTGTTCTCATTCTCACCTCGCCTTCATTAGCTAGCTTGGCCATTTGCCTGGAATACCAACTTGCTTTGCTTTTGAGGTCTTCAGGAATTTCTCTTCGCTCCCACTGCTTCTCTTCATTCCAATCTTTACGATCTCTAAACAGATATTTCGAGGGACGTAAAGTCATCGTTTTGGCAGACTTTTGTCTGAGCTTAGATTTCCTGAACTTCGCGGCCTGATCGGATTTTTGTTTACGTTTGTTACTTTCGCCGACCAAAATGTTTTCATCCTCACTCTCCGAATCATATTCTGAGTCTTCTTCACCTCTACTTGAGTGTACGTCCTTTGATCGTGATCTTGTTCTGAGATCGACTTGACCAAACGACCTTGGTTTTAAAAAACCATCATGCGTCGTTCTTATCCCATTCCGTTTTTTGCCGGAAAGTAGAGGCGTTTTGTAAAATAACTTAGATATAACGGTACTACATAAGCCTCGTACAGTTATTCCTTGTGGGATAAAGCATTCAGGTTTGTAACAAAGGCGAAAAATGCAGAATAAACGCCCATAACGAATCTTAACGGCAGCCATGTTGAAATGTAGCACAGTTTACTAGGACCCAGACTCCTTGGGTCTCGGTGTACGTCATATATGATATCTGTTTTGTCTCCCTGAACTCAGAAATTTATTTCAGTTTCTATTGTTACTCTAACAAGGTTCAAGTCCCTGGTTCAAGTTTTGAACTATTATTTTATATAATCTGTTAAAGGCAAGAGGGAAAAAAACTTTTGAGAAAGCCACACTAGAGGGAGAAAACAAAACTACACTGACTGCAAAAGAGGAAGCCCTTCTCACGTCACAAGGTAAGCCTTTTATTCATTAATTTTTTTATTAGAACATGAAGGTAACAGAAACGCATGATCTACGTCAAGGATTAAAAAGACCTTTCAATGAAAAAAGTGCGTTCTTCATTAGAAGCGAGAAATGCTAATTGTCCAAATTATATTTTTCTTCTTCAAAACTTTCAAGGGAATCTATGTTAACTAGACAGTTTTCTTACATCAAGGGACAAGAATCTTCTATATTTTATTTCTATTCCGAGATCGTGACGTGACACGAGGGCATCGGAAAATTTCGTTTTAAAACCAGCTTCAAAGGTCATACCGTTGACTTCCGGTATATTGCAAAATGTGCAGTGCTATGTTATTATTATCCTATACAGAGTGTCAGTAATGCTGTACGGTGAGGGAAATATCTGTCACAGTATAACACTAGTATGCCTACAAACGAACAGAAAGCAGCCGGGAGGCAAACATGTTCGCATTGTTAAAAAGAGGCTCAGAATATTCAATAAAATTGCCTTTGGGGGTCAATATAAGAGCTAACATCTTTCGAATGGAGAAGCAAAACATTACAATCAGCCACGAGGAGGGGGACATGGCGTTTTACGGTATTGCGGTAATGGGCTTTTTTTCATGCGGTATTTCGGTAATTTTAATTTTAACGTGCGGTATGTGGTTTTTCATCATTTTGGCTGACGGTATTCGGTGAAATAAGATTGTTCACGGTATTACAGTACCGTTTATTTGCGCTTTCTTTCGATATAATGCGCAAAACAAAACACAGTAGCATGGACATCTGTCGTGGTGCATAAATGCCTGAGATAATTAAACGCGCTAGCTGGAAGCAACCATAAGTATGCGGAACTGATTATAAATGTGATTAAAATATGCGGTATCGGTATTTGGACGATTTTCCACGCGGTATTTCGGTATTTGCCATTTTTTCTTACGGTATTGCGGTATTGGGTAACCCAATGTCCCCCTCCATGAGTGTTCTGGCTTCCGCGCTCAATTTTACTCAACTACAACATATTGATGAGCTTCGTCGTGCATTCTTGGCAAACAATGGCTGAAGCGCTTTCATAGAGTCTCTGCAATAATATGACAGATCTACGAACTTTGTTGAACTGGAAGTGAATGTCCCGAGAATAGAGTGTTTTCACTCACGTGGCCAGCATCTATACAAATTTATTGAAACAAAAGAAAGCGTTTGCATAAGAAAGGAACTCAATCCCCACAGGACTGGTTTGGGACACCAACATGGACGCCGTTTCATTGTTTTGGGACACCGATATGGCTGCCGTGACGTCATGTGAAAACACTCTATAATAGGCATTCTGCGCGATGCTCTTTTTTTTCAGTGAACAGAGCGGAAGAATAACTGGAATAAGCCGCCTAGTACGTTGCTAAAGCTGCAATGCAAGTTTTTATATAAAATGCTTATGATCAAGAGCAAAAGAACGGAAAAAGACTTTTATGTTCCCTTGTCAAGAGACATTCACTCGCCAGTCTACATCCCACGCGCTCTCATTAAACTGAAACCTTAATTTTAATTCTAGAATTCTCATTAGAATTCTCAAAAGAACATCAACAACTTCTCAAACTAGTAAACTATACGCACCGGCACACTTCCTTGAACTGAGTGAAATTAAAAGCAAACTTGATATTCTAAAGCAGCAAAACTGAAATCCGTTCTATTACTCGTGACCTGGCCGCACGATCAAACATTTTGGTTTCTGCTTTTCGGTTCCACCAACTGACTCATAAAGTGAATATCTTTCCTTGATTTCTCTGAAGAAGCCTCCGAAGAAGCCCAATTAATAGTTTTTAATGTAACCAAAAAGTCGATTTTTAAAACCCCATTTAATTTTAATTTCAAAGAGATCTCGAAAGCAAATATGATGATTTGGAAATGAGAGGTAATTAAAAGGGGTCCGTTCAGTACCGCTGCAAATTTCATTTCAGCTTGCATGAAGGTTTTTAGTTTCTGTGTCTGGATCGATCCGTAATATTACAAAAAAAAAAAGACACAAACAAAAAACAAAACAAATTTATTCCGGACAGCATTCAAATACAAAGATGAAACTTTTTCGGTTTCTATTCAGTTGAGTGAATAGTTTCTATTGCAGTCGTGCGCGATGAAATGAACGGTATCGGTATTTGGACGATTTTCCACGCGGTATTTCGGTATTTGCCATTTTTTCTTACGGTATTGCGGTATTGGGTAACCCAATGTCCCCCTCCATGAGTGTTCTGGCTTCCGCGCTCAATTTTACTCACCTCAGAGCGAGTTTATTTATGACATAATCGAGATCTCTTGCACGTGCTAAAATAAATGGAAAATTTCACCTTTCTTTCTGTGGTTTAATTTTTGAACAAAATTCCCGTAATATAAAGCAAAGTGTATGTATTCTCATGATTTGAACGTTCACTGTGAAATATGCGCATATTCGCGATTTTGCGAAACAAAAGAGCTAAAAGGAGAAAACAATAGTGTGCTGCGTTCATTGTTTAGTTTGCCGCCTACAACATATTGATGAGCTTCGTCGTGCATTCTTGGCAAACAATGGCTGAAGCGCTTTCATAGAGTCTCTGCAATAATATGACAGATCTACGAACTTTGTTGAACTGGAAGTAAATGTCCCGAGAACAATAGGCATTCTGCGCGATGTTCTTTTTTTTCAGTGAACAGAGTGGAAGAATAACTGGAATAAGCCGCCTAGTACGTTGCTAAAGCTGCAATGCAGGTTTTTACATAAGATGCTTATGACCAAGAGCAAATTAAAAGAACGGAAAAAGACTTTTATGTTCCCTTGTCAAGAGACATTCACTCGCCAGTCTACATCCCACACGCTCTCATTAAACTGAAACCTTAATTTTAATTCTAGAATTCTCATTAGAATTCTCAAAAGAACATCAACAACATCTTTAACTAGTAAACTATAGGCACCGGTACACCTCCTTGAACTGAGTGAAATTAAAAGCAAACTTGATATTCCAAAGCAGCAAAACTGAAATCCGTTCTATTACTCGTGACCTGGCCGCACGATCAAACATTTTGGTTTCTGCTTTTCGGTTCCACCAACTGACTCATAAAATGAATATCTTTCCTTGATTTCTCTGAAGACGTCTCCGAAGAAGCCCAATTAACAGTTTTTAATCTAACCAAAAAGTCGATTTTTAAAACTCCATTTAATTTTAATTTCAGAGAGATCTCGAAAGCAAATATGATGATTTTGAAATGAGAGGTAATTAAAAGGGTTCCGTTCAGTACAGCTGCAAATTTCATTTCAGCTTGCATGAAGGTTTTTAGTTTCTGCGTCTGGGTCGATCCGTAAAATTATTTAAAAAAAGACACAAACAAACAAAAAAAACAAAAATTATTCCGGACAGCATTCAAATACAAAGATGAAACTTTTTCGGTTTCTATTCAGTTGAGTGAATAGTTTCTATTGCAGTCGTGCGCGATGAAATGATCCGAACAAGTGTCGAGGGGAAACGTTTCACCCTGTTGCTTGCTTTCATTTTTCAATTGTTTTTGACTTGTTCGACTTATTATACAAAAGATCTTGGGCCTCTGTCCAGGCCTGACCCGGTACGTACTTAAAACGTAGAAAACGGAGCCTTGGACTGCCTATGTTTCCGAGGTGCCGGCCACATGTGAGAGACTTTTTACTGCCCAAAAGGCGTCCCAAAAACCTTTTTCTGATAAACGCCATTTTCAGTATCTTCAACTAGCGTCTCGATAGCGTATTTCCAACTGTGCTCTCATGGTTATATTAAACAGGCTATTTCATTTATAAACCAACATGCAGGGTGAACTGAATTTTTTTTTCTTCATTAGCATTCATGTCTTAGCAGTGATCCCAAATGATTCACACACACAAACACAAACACAAACACAAACACAAACACAAACACAAACACAAACATAGTGAAAAGTGACCCGGCGTGTTGCAAACCAGGCCCCTTCGTCCTGTTATTTAGCATAGATTGTTTGCATATAGTCATTAGAGGAAAATTTAATATTAATGGCAAAAAAAAACGAGTTCCGGAGGCTGCAAAAGTTTGGCCTAGTTGACCTAAGGTTTAGCTCCACTAAATGGACAGCAAATCGCGAGTTTTTTGCATTGTTGGGTAGGTCTTTTTCCTTTATTTTCTTTAATTCTCATGCCGGTGAATCCTATACATTCCTGGTCTGTGCGCCCTCTGTTTGGTTTTCAATCTTCAGTCTCCCATGCAAATGTTGGCGATGGCAAAAAACTAAATTTAATGTATGGTATTTGTACAATTCTAACGGGCGTGAATAAAAGTACTGAATACGCCCAGTAGAGCTCTTGTTAATTTTCAAAGAAAACGTTCATGTTATATCAGTTTTGAGCGATAGACCTGACTATTGAACATTATTTATACCATACTGGTATTGACAGCTGCTGAAGGTTTACGTGCATTTGTAGCTAGCTGTATATTTATTACGGTTTACTTGGCATCCTGTACTATTACAGTCAAAGTAAATCGGCTTCTTCCATTTATTGTAGGTAAGTTATCATTAAAAATGGCCCAAATCAGCTTGTTAATTTTATTTTTTAACTACCAAATCGAGTCCATGTTTAAGCGATAAAGATGCCAAAGTTATCATGGCGGTTTTGACACCTGTTCGCCACCATACTGAAACTTGTAAATACCACCAGACATTTTTGTGATACAAACCAAAATAAGTACCGTCGACTATTATAACCAAGCGAAAGACAGTTT